CTCTGTTTTCCTTTATGATAAGGCCGAAACTGATACTCTACTTTTTTTATTTCCTAGTGCTCAAAGGGAATCGTGATGCTTTTCTGCAACATTTCTACATTTCCCATTTCTATTGCGGCTACACCTCGTTGAAGCATGAAATAAAAAATTAACTTATGTTGGCAAGCTAATAAGTTACGCATCAAATTTTGGAGGGGTGCATTAAAAACCCCTCTCAGAAATTGTTAAACTTGAAGGAATTGATCAAATTCCATAGCTATGTATTTCTGAGAGAGCCATTTAAGAAATGATCAAAAGATGCCATGGAAGCATAAAATGATCCCCTCCCGAGCGCGTGCTGTGACCTCAAAATCCACTCAACTTCTCCGTGCATCATTTTTATTAAAGCGTTACTCCAGCTTGGCCCAAACATAAGGAATTCTGGGGCTAGTGGCCTGTTTATGGCCGAGACCAGTGAGGAACGGTACGTTTGGCGGAGTGAGCATCGATCAAAATGTGTGTCAGCCTGAATAGAATAGAAACTATATATGGAGCACAGGATGTGTTCATCACTCTTTAAATATGAAGCACGCAATAAATTCGTAATTTATTTCGATCAAAATTAGCTTGTAAAGATGTCGAATGACAAAAAAAAGAGCATATTTCATGTGATAGAGATTAAAATCGCTCATTTTCATATTGAGGAATTGAATTCTCACATCAGTTTATATGTGAGATACGACTGATGCAATTTTTCCTAATTGACACGCTTAAAATTAGTAAATGGAAACCGCATTAGTCTATCTGAAGCGGAAGAGAAGATTAATATACCACACACACTAGGTACAAAGGTGAAATATATTGCATTCTTTCTCACTTGAGCCTCAGCCAAAATTAATTACCAGAAATATAAATGTGTTGTTGTGAGTCCTACCCATTACCTACCAACAGAAATCAAGGACGGATTGCATAACAGCCGCATAGCTATTGTTGGACGCCCTCCAATTTAGAGGAAGCTCCTTCCTCGCACCAACTTCGATGCGCCAAATCAGTACATGCATGCAAAATATCTTTAGAAGCAACTCCTATAGTGAATGTCAATTCAATCAAAGCCAACTTTAAGATTCAAGAGAACTGGGGCAGTTGGTTCCACTTCTAAAAATGCCTTCATCTTCTTCAACGCTTCCCTGGGCAAAAAATGTTGCCTATGTACATTTTCTAGTCATGTCTGTCCTCATTTCAGATGTTGTACATTGCTCCTCGGACAGAAACGTGATCGATTCCAATCTCCTGACCCAGAAGATTGGTACCAGGCGAGCAACAATAGTTGATATTAGTGGACAAGGAGACTTCAGGACCATTCAAGCAGCAATTGATGCTGTTCCAGAAGGCAATTCCAATTGGACCATTATTCATGTGAGGAAAGGTGTTTACAGGTGATCTTATACCAAAAATTGCCAGGAAAAGCCAAAATACGATTCAAGTATCTATCTGTTTTTCTTTTTTCTTTTTTTTTTGGCAAAAAGCAAGAACAACGGGATGACGATCAAATTCACTTTTTAATCGAGATGAAATGAGATTGGCGATCATAATCATTTGATTTAGCGATTGCAACAAAAGTTGATGCCATTATTAATTTAACAAAATTTAGAGATATAAAAGGCGCTGCCTGTACTTGAAAACTGTAGATGACTATTAGATAGTAAGAAGTGTACTTTTGTTCCAACCAATTAGCTAGGCATAATACTGGGATCTAAAGTATCAATTTCTCTTTGGGTTTGTCCCGGTAATACATTTGGTACATGATCACTTAATGGTGTGAACAATTGCTTTGTACTGTAAAATTGAAGGACCATGTGCCATCCATCGGTGGAATGATGGCTCAAAGCTATTTTCTGATGTGATATTGATTTGCCATCCATCGGTAAAATTAAAGATATTGATGTGATAACATTTTCTGAACTTGTAACAATTGCAGAGAGAAGGTGCACATACCTCGTAATAAACCCTTTATATTCTTGAGAGGCAATGGAAAGGGTAAGACATCCATCGTTTGGTCTCAGAGCTCTGTCGACAACTACCAGTCTGCTGCTTTCCTTGTTGAATCACAGAACTTCGTTGCCTTCGGTATTAGCTTCAAGGTTCAACTTCTGTAGCGTAATGTCGGACTTAAATTCATTTCATTTCTAGAAACTATATAACGGCAAAGAGATCCTCGGTTAAAATTGCTTAAATTTAGAGCATCTCCCTTAATTTGTCTTAGTCTTTGATTAAATGTGTAGTAATTGATTTGTTTTGGTAGAATGAAGCTCCAACCGGGATTGCTTATACCTCACGTAACCAGTCAGTTGCAGCATTTGTTGGGGCAGATAAAGTTGCATTCTACCACTGTGCATTCTTTAGCTCACACAACACTCTCTTTGATTACAAAGGCAGGCATTACTACGACAATTGCTATATTCAGGGTTCCATCGATTTCATATTTGGACGCGGTCAGTCTATGTTCCATGTAAGTAGATATCGTAAATGCCATCTTCATACATGATTCTTTACGTATGTGCAATATTGCGAGAAATTAAACGAAATGGGTAAAGACCTGTGATGTGATGTGACGATGTAACGCAGAACTGCGAGATATTCGTGATTGGAGACAAGAGGGCAGAGATCCATGGATCCATCACAGCTCACAGCAGGCGAAGTGCTGGTGAAAACAGTGGTTTTGTGTTCGTTGGAGGGAAGATCTATGGGGTTGGTAGCTTGTACTTGGGTAGAGCCAATGCACCCTTTTCTCGAGTTGTTTTTGCAAACACCTACTTCTCCAGGACCATTGTGCCTCAAGGATGGACGAATTGGAGCTATGCTGGCAGTCCAGAGTAAGGACTAGTTCCCTATATATATATATATTCATTACTAATTAAGCTTAAGCAGTAATGAGAAAATATTATAACTTAAGAATGCCACGATGAGTATGAGGTGATTGACGAATGATATGCAACTGCATGAAATGTTCAGAAAACGAAAACATAATTGGCTTCAAGTCATGTTATGGAACTGCTACTCTAAAGGTTCTTCAGTCAATACCCTATTCGATAACGCTCTGAAAAAACGCAAAGAATCATAGTTAAGTAGAGTTTTTAGGATACATTTACCAGAATGGCTTGCAATCATCATACTTGGATCACTGGATACTGGGTATTCTTGAGTAATTTCATTGTCATTGTGCTCCTAGCTGATCCAAGGAATGTTGCAAACAACTGCAACAGCCGTGTATATCTTGCAGAGTATAAATGTCATGGTCCAGGGTCTGCTTCAAAAGATCGAGCTAAGTGGTCAAAACAACTCGATGACAAAGAAGTAGCTCCTTTCCTCTCTATTGATTACATCAATGGCAAGCAATGGCTCCCAGCATGGCTCTGAACTGCCAATGTGAATACTGTACAGGATGAGACCTGCTCCAAGTTAAGAGTACCTCACAATTGTAAATCTTTGGGTGGTAGTTAGTTAGGATCGGACTTGCTCCTAGTACTAGCCCTTTGGAGGCTTACGAGTCAGTAAAATAGAGGGGCATACCCTGTCCAATTTTTTTTTTTTTTTTTAATAAACTTGCACAAATAAATGTAATGTATCCAAGTACCATTTACTAAGGATTGATGCTGGTCGATGTTAAGATCCTTTCCAAAGTTGGTCTTGGTTGGATATTAGATTATTTTGATGAAGCAACTGAAAGAAATCTGGGGAGAACAGATCTTGATCATTGTGTCTGACGTACACATTCTGATGATTTAACTCATTGTACTTGAAAACTAACTCCAACTACCCTAATGCAAGTAAAACTCCACTCAGAAGTCGAGTTACCGCTGCACATAATAACTATAAACACCATAAAACTGGATTATGAATCAGGTTTAATTTGTCTCTCATAATAATGCCAAAATTGTTACATTACCAATCAGTACAAAATTTATCCCCGAGTATATTGCAACAATTACTTAAAAAGAGTAGTGTGTGGCGGGCGGGCAAATGCAGTGCTCTATCCGGTTCCATGCGCAGATGAAACAATTAGTTTGATATTCCATCACAGCACATTTCTAGATCCACAAAACACAGAAAGATGACGAAACAAGTATTCATCTATATATCAAGTCGTGAAGGAATATACAGGCATGAAGGGCAGCTGGGAGCCTATATATCCTCTGCTCAAATGTAGCTTACAACTCCAAGGACTTGGACCTAAGATCGTGTTCGACAACACCTACTTTCTTGCCTATTTGATATAGGATTAACCTTTTATACACACTGTTTATCAAAAATAATAAAAAAAATTTATACATTGACAGTATAGTGATTTTTTTATACTAGCAGTTATGATTATACGTCACATGTGCATATTTTGAATTTTAAATTTAAATTTACGTTATATAACATGATTTAAACCCATTAATGTAAAGAAAATTATAAGAAAACTTACTTTGCTTGAGCCTTGATCGGACCAATTCAATAGTAACATGTGGTAATTCATCATTTCTTTCATACTGAAGTTATATGGTAGTAGAAATCATAGTAGTAGTAGTATTTGATAGATCTCTTTGTAATGTAAAAAAGTTTGGGTTCTTTCATCCGTGCATACAATGTAAAATTTTTTGAACGGTGAAAGAAAAATAGAAATTGTAATATAAAATAGTCATACACGAACCCTTTTATTTTTTTTTTAAAAAAAAACTATAGTTTATAACTCGTAGACTGTAAATCCCTAACCAGTTTGCATAATTCAGAATACTCAGCTCAATTATTATTACTGTCACAATATGAATTCCAACGAGGTTTTATCCAGTTAAGTTCAATTCAGGATCAGTCTAGATGTTCGTATTAAGAATAACAACTAACAACAATCATAACAATAATAAAATAAAAAATAAAAAAAAAACGCCAAAAGGCCCAAAATTACGTGGAGTGAGAAGGCCCAGCAGTTGGCCCAACAATTCCAACATCTTTCCGTACAAAATCCCCAACAAAACAGGGCATTCAAAAGACATGTAGGGCTTGCTTGATTAACGAATTCTCCATCCGCGAGAGAGAGCTTTGGAAATTATCGTGAAAGAAATTGGAGAAGAGGGAAAGGGATTAGGGCAGAGGAGAAAATGGAAGCGGAGGGAGGAGATGAAGGAATAGAGATGGTGGTGGACTCCAAGGACCTGCAGCAGCAGAGCAAAGCCCTCGACAAGCTCACTGACCGAGTCGAGGATCGTCAACTCGACTCCACCCGGGTTCAGGAGGTACCAACCCACAATACCCACATTCTATTCATTTGTCTTCATTCTCCAATTTCTGTTGTTTACCTCTGGTTTACTTTGAATTAGTTCAGGCTATGGCGTCAATTGCTGCATCCAAAGAAGCTGATCTTCAAGCCATGAGATTGAGGTTGGAGCTATTTCTTTTTCCTTTTTTACTTTTGTACATTATTTCGTTAGTGGAGCTGGAAATAGATTTCAAATGCTTCTCTATTATTTTTTTTTTTTTCTTTCGATGGAATGGAAGATGTAATCTGTAAACGTGGCCCACTGGTTGTAAAACATGTATAGACATAATTGATTGGTATTTCATGCTGGATTGAGATTCATACTATTGTACTGCATCATATAAAGTAAATAAACAAAGAAATAGTTTTTGGGGAAGCTTGAATTGCCTGTGGGGTGTAGAGAAAATGAAGTAATGTGGCTCCTTGGGCTTTTCTTGGCCTCGTGATGAATTTCTTACGTAGTTATTATAGTGACTTACAACATGAATACGCAGCATGTTTGATTTTATATTCATGTGATATGGCCATGGATTCTGTCTAATTATCAAATTTGACAAGCTATTTTGTGTCCATTTAGATATCTTATAAGGTAAGCTCAATAATTATGTTGGTTTTTCTATTCTCAACCTACCCTGCTGTGTTGTTCTCAGAACGTTTGTCTGCAATTAGCCATAGGACTACAGATTTGGTTTTTCATGCCATTGGAGGGCATACTATCATGCTTCATTTTACCATAGCTCAAGTATTTAAAACTTGAATTATCTTTTGTGGCCTTCTTCAACATTTTTCCTTTTTGTTTAGATTTTTTTTGGCCAACTTTTTATTTCCACGTGCTCATGTGGTTCAGCTTAAAGATCTGCTTTACAAAATTTCTCATCACAAATGCAAATGCTGTTCTTTTAATGATTATTTTCGAGTGGTCAGCAGTAATTGAAGTTAAGCCAGTTAACAGTGTTTAAAATGCGTTTGTACTGTGGGGTTATGTGTAGCTTCTCAACGTTTTGTTCCTTCTGCAGGGAAAAGGAATTAGCTGCAGTCAAGATTAATCCAGAACATGTTGATATAATTGCCAATGAACTAGAGGCTTGTATCATTTTTTATTTTCGTTCGTGAATTTGCAGCCTTTTGCTTTGTGCTCCGTTTTTTAACAATATAGCTTTAAAACTTGCCCACAGCTGGACAAGAAGGTGGCTGAAAGGACTTTGCGTGAGCACAAAGGTGATCCTGTTGCTGCCATTCGAGCTTTGCTTAACTAAATGCTGCCATTCGAGCTTCAAAGACGAGTTTACTGGATCCTGCTGGCTTTTCTTACTTGTGTTTGGGGCCATTACGGGACTTGAGCATGCTTTCAATCTCTCAAGTGTCCGTGCTTAGCTGTGCATTTCCTGCTTGTAAAATTGTGCCGCAATATCGGTGAAATTTATGCTCTGAGATTTTGTTTTTTGTCAATTAGTACTTGTTTATTTTAGTTGATTTCTCTTTTTCATGTAATGAGAAACCCGGTGAAAGGCATTCCAATCACTCGGGTCATCAACCTGCACTTTTTAACAATTTATCAAGAATAGAGACGATAAGGGTCATCATTCAACTGGCATTTCTCCTCAACCGCAGCTGAACAGAAGTTGTCCGTCTATGTGCCAAACAGCTTCCCTTGCATGACGAAAGTGAAAGTGAATTAGATTAATTTGTGTTCTAAAATTCCCTTGCTTCATCTCCATCCCCAAACCGGGGCAGATATGTTGGTTGTTTGTGGTTCTGTAAAATTCGTAATCTGTGATACATGCAGTATGAGTATACTCCTCCTTGATGCGCCATGGTCTTCTTATTGTAGTTTCTTTAAGCTACATCTCAACAGAACCTCATTTATAGCTACACTCCCGGATAAGGTCTCAAATTTATTAGGCAATTATGCTCATCTAGCTCAGAATATTGTCAGAGACATATTTATCGACTTTGTTGAAATAATACTAATTGCACCAAAAATCACGAAGCTACAGACAGATCTCTTCAACGGCAAAATCAGAGTATCAGTTGGACTTGTAGAGTTCCTAGAGTTTCTTGTTTTCTATACACAGATTTTGATTGCTTTGAAACTGTTAAGATCCCATCCATCTCTGAATGATATCTGTTCTGCTCGTACAACAAATTTGCCAGTGCACACGATGGACATGCTTGAGAGGTCGTCGATAGCACCAGCAATTGGATACAATCTACCAGTGTATGATTTGACAGGCTTCACAAATGACAACTTGCTGCATCAAACTTTCTTGTATTAGCAAACATCATATCGACCAGCCCTTGGGTTGAGCTTTTTCAACATTGCAAGCAAGCATTCATGGCAATGCCATAATCATCAACCTGCCACCAGCGTTTGTTACCATTGAGAGAGAAGTGGCTGAATGTTCCAAGCAAAGAGCAAGTTACACGACGTGTCTACAACTCTTTCTGACTGCCATCTCCTGTGCCAGCTCGTGAGGCCTGAAATTGAATGGCAGACTGTCTTTGCATATCTCTAAGCCTTTCCACTAGTTCTTGGAAGGTTGGACGGTTCGGCGGTTCACTGTGTTTGGGAAAAATCATTTACTTTCACATCAGTTTAATGCACACAACATCACATAGAACTAAATAATATTCCCTGAAACATTAAAACTCAAGATAATAGCAGAAGACTGGGTACTCAATCTCGACAGTATGACAATTTCGTTGATAAATTCAAAATGTCATGCAGACATCGATGGATCAACCTACAGTATAAGCGGAGCTTTGAACTAGGAAACTACGAGATCACCCCATCCTTAACATATGAAATTTAGCAACATGTCCATTTCAGTCCTATTAACTAAAACGTAATGCACACACATAACAGATGCGATAAAGATTTCATCCTTTCTTCATTCAGCCGCAAATTGCTAAGAAATACTTGTTGCATCTTATCAAACAAAAAGAAATAAAGAAAAAGGAGATTCTCAGTGCCAAGGTACAAACCTATGCCAGCAGCTCTCAACTATTGCTGCCCACTGCGGATCAACGTCCTTAGGAATGTCAAGTCGTTGATTCATGAATCCTACAGCTCCAATTACCTGGAGAAGTACCGAAAAGGTGATTAAACCTGCACGACCAAATGCTCTTTCTATCCCCAGTTTTCAGGTAAGCTATTTCGTAGAAAGACAAAACAAGTACCTGCATAGAGTTGAGGTTATCCCAAGGGATCTTTTCAGTGGCAAGTTCCCACAATATCACCCCAAAGCTGTATATATCCGCCCTAGATATTTTAAAGTAAAAAAAAAAAAAGTTAATCAGCAATATTTTATGTATATGGCTGCATATGCATTAAATATTTTCTGGTAGAGACATACTTCTCATCCGAGGGTTCATTTCGAAGAACTTCTGGAGCCATCCATTGAGGCTGAAAGAAAATGAAGTATTTAGAGCCTCAGTCAACCCGGAAACTACAACTGATCATGTCAGTATAGCAAAAAGGTTAATGCATGTTTTAATTCAATACCGTTCCTTTCCCTGTCTTGGTGGTCAGGTATGTTTCTCTTTTAAGACGTGACAGACCAAAGTCGCCAACCTGTGTAACAACAAATTCAGGTTTTCACGAAACTCAATTCAATAAACAGTTTTTAACATCCAAGCAGGAAATTAAGCAGCTAGGGGACCTAAATCCACACCTTTACAGTCCAGTTCTTATCAACAAGAAGATTCGAAGATTTCAAATCTCGATGGATAATAGGTGGGTTGCAATGATGAAGATAATTCATGCCTCGTGCCTGAAAAAATAAAAATTAAAAATCAAACAGTATAACGAAAACACTTCTCCCACCAAAAAAAAAAAGGTCAAAAACCTACAAGCAAAAAGAAAAAATTTGGCTTCAAGCCTAATAAATCATAATAATTGCGGTTTGGCACATGTCCTGCTTCTCCATATCAAGCTACAACATGGGTCTGTTAACCAACAACATTCACAGTATACGGACTTTGAATTACTCACTACGTCCAAAGCCATGTGAATACGACGTCTCCAATCTAATTTGCCCATATTCCTTTGTAGTAACCTGAATAAACTTCCACTGCATCAAAAGAGGAAGAAGAAATTCGTAAGTCATTCAGCCAATAAAATTTTCCACTACATTAACATGCAGAAGTTCATGCAAGAAACATGGCTCGTTAGCCATTTCTTCTCAGAATAGATAAAATAAAGTGAAGAATGTATTATAGAAGGAACTGGAGAACGAACCGAGGCAGGAACTCTGTTACAATGCAGAGACGTTCAGGCGAGGTTACTGCACCCATGAAAAGCAGAATATTTGGATGCCGCAATCTTTTCATGAGAGACACCTAAACAACACGACATACATGCATCAGGTAGATGCCCACATAGCAGATAACTTTTCAGGAAAATAAGAAAGGAAGGAAAGGGAGCACTACAAGTGAACAAGATCAGCATCCAACAAGTATATACACACAGGATTCTAAAGCTATCCCATCTATAGATACATGCCTGTGTGCACATAGACTAACATATCACACGAACAGATATACAATTGTTAACTCGAACTAGCAGCAATACTCAAAGGCAAATTAAGCTAACAATAAAAACTGGAATGATATTCTTTTACCATAAAGATCATTTCTAGCATCTTTTGAAGAGTATTTGCAATTTAAACACACAGAAAACTTTTCAAGTGTATGGACACAAGAAGCCAAGAATTAATGAGAACACATTACTCACCTCCTGTCGGAAGGAAAATATCGCATCTTCAGAATATTCTTGCCTAGAGAACACCTTCACAGCGACGTCCTGCATAACAAAGGCACTACAAAATTATAGCCATTTTCCAGCATCCTACTGCTCTAGAAAGGATGATCATATAGAAAAAGAAAGAACACCAATCACCAATCATGCAAAAGTTTTGATGGCACTAGCTTCCAGACTTAGCTTATAACCTAATTTAGGAGTAAAGCCTTGACTTTTGGAGCCAGGGATTTACATGCTGTGAATTTAAAACACACACACTTTTACTTAAATTATGCTATTGGAAAGCCACATCTTATTTGAACTGTTTAATTTGGATAGTGACAATTGTTCTTGAATTCTCCTTGTAACAAATGACTAAAAGAGAAGAGCTAAAGAACATACTGATCCATACCACAGAGCATGGTATACAGTTCCACATGAACCTGCACAGGCATAATGCAGACGATGTTAAACAAAGAGAGATAAAAATTCAGACAATATTAACACTAATAAAGCTGAGCAGCTAATCAAAATGTCCCTCAAAAAAAAAAGAACCTATTCTGAATTTGTAATAATCGGTGATAATGCATATAGTCTTGATGTCTTGTCTCCTTAAAACTGAAGGACAAAAGTACAAACTTATTAAATAGATCCTGTTCAAGGAAGGATACAAGGAAAAGAAACAAACAGTCACGACCAAAAAGGTTAGACCAATGATTTCAAAAAGGTAAGACCAAAAATGCCATTTCCTGAAATTACAGCCTTCTAGGTACTTAAAGGGGGTTGTGCATGCATGAAGATTGAGAAAACTGATATAATAGAACCCGTAAAATGGGAAATTGTTTACCTTGCCCAATCTGTTCCCCAATTGTCAAGTCTTCCCACAAGATCTCATAGTCCAAGCAGTCATTATCCATGTCAATCTTATTTACAGCACTGCTGCTTGTACTTCCACAGCTACTAGCACTACTTGTGCTGTTAATGTTAAATGATGAGGACCAGGAGCCCGAAGCCTCATTATTAACCATCCTGTTAGTTTCCTGATTGTCTGGCTTTGCTGGAGCTGCAGATGTTTTCTGTTGATCCAAGTCATTCTCTAGGTCATTGTGTAACCATGGCCAGACAAAACGAGTAGCCTTTGACTCAGAGTTCTCTCGATCATTTCCTTTCCACGGCCAAGTTAAACCAGTTTTACTGATCAATGCCTCTGCCTTTGATGTAATGATCTTAGAGATCCCCAGTTTTCCTTCACCCTCATCCCCTGAACCTCTGGAGTTGTTTCCGGGGGAGAGCTCCTCATAAGTAGCTTGAGAAGATTTTCCAAATGGTGAAGGGTGCACATCTGCTCGTGGTGTACTAGCTCCACTAGAAGCCGCATCCTCTCTATGGTCAGAGAGGGCAGCATCTGAGATACCATGATCAGAGAGATGATCAACGCTATTGTCTTCACTACCACCCTCATGATCAGTACTCGTGTCTCCAGTCCTTATTTTTGACTTCACCTTGCTGCTCACTTTGGAAGCCTATATTCAGATTGTAACATCAGCATATCACTAACTTAATAATGGATAATGTTTAAAACACTACAAACTAACCAAATTTGATATTTTCGAGGCAATTGCAACTTGAAGAGGCTGTTGAGGATCAAGCCCAAGTTTAGCAGAAGCAAGCATTTTAGGCCTACTAAAGCTTGAATTGGCTTCTGGCTGCCTTGCCCCTGACAATGTTGCCTTTGTTTCTTGGAAGGGTCTTGAATCAGTAGATACACAAATAATTCCAACCAAAGTGCCATCATCATCATAGAAAGGGGTATCAGTGGCAACAATTACAAATCTGTCTCCTTTCTTGTTCTT